AGACACAAGTATTCAGGATCATCAACAGGAGATTCGTTGATACATCCGGGAGTTCGAGTTAGCTATGGTGAGCCTCTTTGTTTCCAGAGGATTTCATTTTCTATTCAGTTTAGTCAGGATGTCGTGGGTCTTGTCCCGACTTCCATCTTTATCAGTTAGAGGCTTCATAGATAGTCAGTATAGTTGAGAAGTTTGTATTATTTATTTTATTAAATGTTTTAAAGACTAAAATTGCCCTTTCATAGCGAGTTGTATATATTTTATTATACAGAGTTTTCTTTGGATTTAAAGTTTGTATTTAAGTTTTATGAACTTTTATTTCAGTTTTAAACTTTTGCATGCTTAAGTTAGTCTTCCGCTTGTAGTTAGCCAGGATGAGGGTTCGCTTGGGAACCAACAATGGTTCTTGAGTGCCGGCCACGTCTAGTGTGTAGACTCGGATCGTGACAAAAACCAAACTTTTAGCACATTTTTTAAAGTTAAAAAAAAACTAAAAAAAATAACTTGAAAAACAGAACTGAAAATTAAAAAAAAAAAAACTAAAAAAAAAATAATATAAAACACTTTCACTAGGAATCGATCCGATGACGTACAACTTAATTTCAGGGGTACGTGCCACTATGCCATTAATTTCTCTTTGTTATTGAGAGGGTTCAAAATATATATATCTACAGAAATACAAAAAATTTACCTTATACATACCATGTAGTTTTTTGTCGAGGGGGTTCGGGTAAACCCCTGGATACCACATGGGTCCCCCCTGGAAGGAGCCTCGCACTATCTTATGTGTCACCAGAACTATCTTGATTTTTTTTCTTTAAATGTGGATGGACCCCACAATTGCTACTTTTATCATATTATTATTCTGTATTTATTCTATTAAAATAACATATAAATTTCCTTATCTTACGCATATATTAGTTATGTTGGTTTCTAGCCTAGCCTCCTTGCTTATACTTATTCCTATTGAGGATTTTTATATTTTTATTAATAAAACACCACTAGACAAAGTGAGTGTATTTTAAAAAAAAAGTTATGTTGGTTTCTAAATTTTCAACCAAACATCTTATTAATTGTAGGAAATTTTACACAAATCTATAGTGGTAAAAGTCAATTACATCTTATTCCTACTCTTTTTCAAATTACAAAAATCTCTTAAATTTGATGGAATTTAGGTACATCCCAAAATGTCCCAATACATCGCGTCTCGATTTCGAATACATCACATCTCGGTTTCGGATACATTACGCAATGTCTCGATACGTCCTGATACATAGTGTAAAGTGATGCATCCGATCGATGAATCGCGTAAAATGATCTATTCGAGAATAGGAGAGAGTAGGGATTCTTATATTTTTTTCAAATGGTAAGAAATTTTAGACAATATGGTAAAAAAGATTGTATAGTTAGAAATTTTTTTCAACTAACAAATTAATATACACATAACTTTATTTTATTCAACTACCAAATAACCCCTAAATGTCAGGATTAAAGATCAAGGGGACAATGCAGGCTTATGAACAGCTAGCTAACGGGCAAATTAACACATCTTATGGATGGATCCAATTTAATAGATATTTTGAACCAGTTGGATAGTTAAGTATCAAACGGCAAGATGGGTATTTAGCTAGCGTATCAGAAAAGTAACACATATCATTTGGTTCTAATGTACTATTGCTTGAAGTCTTTGGCATATTAATGTTACACGATTTGATTTTTTCAGCCATTCATCTACAGTTTTCTATTTTCTATCTATATTGGTGTTGAATTAAGTTATTTCGAGTTAGGCGCAATGAAATGATGAATATTCTATTACGACAAATTAAAGAGAAGTATTTTTCTTTCAATAATTTCTATTAACTAGGTAGTTATTTGAGAAATCAACTATGTTATATGGGAAACATGTTAAAATAAGAAATCTTGCATAAATAAAAGAGTTGTACAAAAACACTCAAAAGGGAGAAGACCTAATTAATACTCTCCTTCTTTCAATTTATGTGTTTACTTAAGATGAATACGTATGAAATAGCTTTAACTTTTCGACCGATGTATAAAACACCTAAGAAAGGGAGTTTGTGATCTGCATAATATATATAAAAGTATATCGGTTCGACTTACTAATGGAGAAAAAAAGGTGAGAACTACTAGCTAGGGAAAGAAAACAGTGTAATGGAGAGAAAAAAAAGGTCCTATTAATAACTAGAGTATGGAGTTGCCAATGCTAGCAGAGGTGATTTCCTACGAATAGCGACACCACTGGCTTCGGTCATATCCAACTCCTCCGGTTTTGGTAATGAGAAATTGAACTTGTGCACAAGTCTTGCTAATGCTACCTCAATTACCACAATAGCAAAAACAGTTCCTGGGCAGCCCCTTCTCCCTGCTCCAAACGGAATCAACTCAAAGTTTAATCCTTTTATATCAATATTACTATTTAAGAATCTCTCTGGTTGGTACTCCTCTGGATCATCCCATGACAACGGGTCTCTTCCAATTGCCCATGCGTTGATAATAACTTGAGTTTTTGCAGGTATGTGATAGCCAAGTAATTCAATGTCTTCTGTTGATTCTCGAGGAATTAGTAGTGGAATTGGTGGATGAAGCCTGAGAGTCTCTTTGATCACTGCTTTAAGATAGTGCATATTTCTCAAGTCCTCCTCTGTTATCTCTGTTTTCCCTTGCCCTAATTCTCGCACTTCATCTTCTAATTTTTTCATAACTCTTGGATGCCTTAAAAGCTCTGTCATTATCCACTCTAAAGCTGTATATGTTGTATCCACACCAGCAGCAAAATTATCCTACGCATTAAAAAAAGAAACACACAAGAAAAAACTAAAATTGTTAAGCAGGATTAGGCGTATATGACTAAGTGGAAGATTAATCAATACTTAATATTCTACATCACCAGGTTTTTAACGATGAAGCCATACAGTAGTACAAATTATAATCAAATGCTCCGAATTTTTTTAAAAAAAAAAAAAAAAACTCGCCAAGGAGGGAATAAATAGTATGAGAGATGATTCATTACCAAGATGATAGCTTTCAATGAATCCCTTTGAAGAAGAAATCCAGTTTCCTTTCCATTCTGAATTTCCAACAAAACGTCTACAAAGTCTTTAGCTTCACCCGTGCTGTACTCTCCTCTGTTTTTCCTACTAACGTGTTCTTCAATCACACTCTCCAAAAATGTATCCAGCTCTTTAGCTACTTTCTCCACTTTGTTGTCCAAACCACTGATTTTATTGACCCATTCAAGCCATGGAATGTAATCCCCAATGCTAAAAGTACCCAAAAGTTCACCAAATTCTTCTAGAGTGACCTTAGCATTCATTCCTCCTTGTCCTTCTTCATTATATTTCCTCCCTAAGGCCACTCTGCTAACTATGTTATTGGTGAGAGAACATAAACAATCTCTTAAATCTATCACTGAACTCGAAAAATTAGAATCACACTCTTGTCTGATTTTTACAATCATATTCAATGTCTCTTCTTCTCTGATATCACGATAAGATTGGACTCTTTTGTTGCTGAGAAGGTGAAGCACGGTGACACTTTTAATTTGTCTCCAGTATTCACCATAGGGACTAAAGGCCACATCCTTAGAGCCATAAAAGAGTCTATCAGCGATGCTAGATTTAGGTCTATTTGACCAAACGAGATCGTGTGTTTTCATGATATTGCGAGCAGCATCTACAGAGGAAGCAACAATCACTGGCTTATTGCCAAAGTGCAGTAGCATGACAGGGCCATATTTTTTGGATAGTTGATGGAGAGAACGATGAGGAAGCGATCCAAGTTGATGGAGATTGCCTATGATTGGAAGCTTTCTTGGAGAGGGTGGTAACTTTTTTTTATTATTTGAGTAAGAAAAGAAGCACTGATGAAGGAAGAAAATGAAGACAAAGAGAAGAAGTAGAAGAGCATACAAGGGAAGATCCATTGTTACTTTGTTTTCTAGAATTGAGTGTATAAATGGAAACAAGTAGTATGAAAATATCTCCTGATTTTTAATTTGTGGATAAGCTTTCACCACACAAACGGAAGGAGACTAGTGATTTTCATGCTTGACTAGTACTCCAACTTTTAACACAAATTTTTGTTTAGTTCACGCAAAGATAACCATTCGATCTTTAACCACAAATTTCATTTGCATAGGATGCAATTAAGTTCAATACATCTTTTTTGTCCTCTCCTTTTTTATACTACAAAATGTTTAATTACTTTCAAAACATCAGATGAGGTCATTGAAAATATATAACAAAGTCACTAGGAACGCTAAAGATAGGATTTTTTTGCCATTCAACTCTTTCTTTTTTAAGGGAAGCAATGCAAATTGTAGTGTAGAATAGCTTGGTGTTTTTGGCTTATCAATGTTATCTGTGGAACATGTTAAAATAAGAAATCTTGCATTCGACAACATAAAAGAGATATACAAAACACCTAAGAAAAAAGGAGGCAACCAGTACACTTCTTACATACTGTGAATTCTCTTGCAATGCCCTTTCCAATGGGTTTCAAATTATTAGTAGTTTAGTACTTATTATATTTTATGACATAATACGAAATGGTAGGAGAAAAATAAACTAACTACCGCACGGAGTTACCACTGCTAGTAAAGGTAATTTCCTGCGGATGGAGATGCCAGTGCATTCACTCATATCCAAATCCTCTTTTTTCATTCCTTGTGGTAATGCAAAATTGAATTTCTGCACAAGCCTTGCTAATGCTAGCTCAATTATCACAATAGCAAAAGGAATTCCTGGGCAACCCCTCCTGCCAGCTCCAAATGGAATCAACTCAAAGTTTAGTCCTCTGAAATCAATATCACTATTCAAGAATCTCTCAGGCCGGTACTCCTTGGTTCATCCCATAATAATGGGTCTCTTCCGATTGCCCAAACATTAATAAGAACTTGAGTTTTAGCAGGTATGTCATAGTCTAGTAATTTTACTTCTTCCATTGATTCTCGGGGAATTGGTATTGGAAACGGTGGATTAAACCTGAGAGTCTCTTTGATCACTGCTTTCAGATACTGCATATTTCCTAAGTCATCTTCTGTTATCTCTGCTTTCCCTTGGACTAATCCTCGCACTTCATTCTGTAATTTCTCCATGGCTCTTGGATTCCTCAAAAGCTCTATCATTATCCACTCTAAAGTTGTATATATTGAATCCACGCCAGCAATAAACGAGTCCTTTACATTAACAGAAATACACATAATTAAAAACAAGTTTATGAGCTCCATTATTACTCGGGGTGGGTTAATTACTTTTCAAAAAGGCCTTAACACTTATACATAAATCACAAATTTATAAATTTTAGATTTTAATATAAAGTAAATGAAAATAAATCAAAGATATTATAGAATTCAAACTAATTGGCAAAATAATAGGGATAATTACAAAATATGTAAGTAGTGTATATATAGTAGATACATTATACAACATATACATATAGGATATATACCTATACACAGATATACAATTGAAGTATATAGGTACTAGGAAGTACATACTTTAGCCATGTTGGTAAACTAGATTGCCAAAGTGTACGTTTACTTAAGTTTCGCATTATAAAATTTTAAGTCCCAAGTTTTAAAATTTGAACTATGAATCAATATATTAGTACGAATTATATGCAAGTGATTAAAAAAACAATTGAAACAAGACATGCCAAGGAGGGAATAAGAAAAATGCTAAATTACCAAGAGAATAGCTTTCAATGAATCCCTTTGAAGAGGAAAACCAGTTTCCTTTCCATTCTGAATTTCCAGCAAAACATCCACGAAATCTTTAGCTTCACCCGCACTATATTCTCCTTTGTTGTTTCTAATCACACGTTCTTCAATCACGCTGTCTAGAAATGCATCCAAATCTTTAGCTACTTTCTTCACTCTGCTGTCCAGACCATTGATTTTATTGAGCCATATAAGCCATGGAATATACTCACCAATGTTAAAAGTACCTATAAGTGCAAGAAGTTCTTGTAAGAGAGCCTTAACAGCTATTCCACTTTCCCCTTCATTGTATGTCCTTCCTATGGTCACTCTACTGATTACGTTATTAGTCATACAACTTAAAACATCTCTCATATCTATCACTGAATTCGAAGAATCACCACCTTGCCTGATTTTTTCAATCATGTTCGATGTTTCTTCTACTCTGATATCACGAAAAGATTGGACTCTTTTGTTGCTGAGAAGGTGAAGCACGATGACACTTCTAACTTGTCTCCAGTATTCACTATAAGTACTAAAGGCCACACCTTCGGATCCATAAAGGAGTCCATCAGTGATGCTAGATTTTGGTCTAGTTGACCATACGAGATCATGAGTTCTCAAGATATCGTGAGCAGAATCAACAGAGGAAGCAACAAGAACTGGCTTACTCCCCAAGTGAAGTAGCATGACTGGACCATATTTTTTTGATAGTTTATGGAGAGAACGGTGAGGATGCAACCCAAGTTGATGCAAATTTCCTATGATTGGGAGCTTTCTTGGAGATGGTGGTAATTTTTTGTTATCATTAAAAGTGGTAAATAAGCAATTATGAAGAACGAAAATGAAAACAAGCAGAGGAACAAGAACAAAATACCAAGGAAACTCCATTTTTTTATTTAGTAATTAGGAGCAAATGGCAATTGATATATATATTCAGAAATGCTTCACCACAGAAACTAAAAGAGACGATCACGACATAACAACTTTTTTGTTCTTTTTTCTGACAAAATAAGAGAACAACTTTTGGGAATTTTCCTTTTCTCTGTATAAAACTTGAATGAGAACCATCTGTACAGTATACATATTTATATAAGCAAAAAAGAATCTAGCTATAACTGACTCCTACAGCTGTCCTCTTTCTATTTGTTTACGACTAACAAACTAAAGGATAATTACAAAAATAAAAGGAATGAAAATTTGTACAAAATAAAAAAAAAAAGATGGGCTGAAATATAACTAGACCAATTATCTAAAGGAGGCCCAAGTTTGTGAAGCCCGAAGTTCAAAATTATTTGTAAAAATTAGGCAAATGACATAGTATAAGAAAGAAATTACTTCCTTTCCCTACTCTTTCATTAATTACCAAAAATCCGTTTTTTTAGTGTTCTGCGGATACATAATATAGCAGCGTGGATACTTAATATAGCAGCACGGATACTTTAATTAATAACGGGCGGATACTTAAATTATTAAGTTGTTAGCAGCACGGATACTTAATTAACGGACGGATGCATAATATAGCAGCGCGGATACTTTAATTAATAACGGGCGGATACTTAAACTAATAAAGTATCCGGTTAAGTTGAATTGGGGGAAAATAAGGGATTTTTGTATTTTAGTAAAAGAGTAGGGAAATATTGAGAATAGGTAAAGAAGTGTTGTGTATTTAAGTAATTTTTCCAAATTATTTTGCCACCTTGTATTGTCTTCACTGTTGGGCTCGGATGATTTTCATAATATTCACCATTGTCAATGTTGGTTCCAATACCCCTCCTCAAGTTGGAGGGGGATGAAAGAACACCCAACTTGCACAGTAGAGTGTGATGAAGAGGGCCAGTCAAAGGTTTGGTGAAAATGTCAGCTAACTGAGAAGAGGAACGAACAAAGGAGAGAGAAATTAGACCAGCTTGAAATTGTTGACGCACAAAGTGATAGTCGAGTTCAACGTGTTTGGTGCATTTGTGAAAAACGGGATTTTTGATTATATGAATAGCAGCTTGGCTATTTGAAAGAAGAGGAACATGAAGTTCGATAGGAATGGTTAGATCAGAGAACAAACGAACCAACCAAGTCAATTCACCCACAACCCGTCTCATGGAGCGATATTCAGCTTCAGCAGAACTGAAGAAAATGGAGGTATGTTTCTTGGATTTCCAAGAAATTGGAGAAGAGCCCAGGGAAATGTAGAAACCACTCACTAATTTGCGTGAGTTGGACAAGATGCCTAATCGGAGTCACAAAAGACCAATAATTTGAAATCAAGAGTAGAAGACATGAATAAACCTAGACCAGGGTCGCGAAGGGGGTATCGAAGAATGATGTGCTGCGAAATCGTGGCACATTTGATGTTTAATAACTATGAACTAATACTAGAATTAAGTGATATTTTGGGATTATTTGATGGGTTTGTTAAATGTGTAGGCAGAATCTAAGTTGTACAGAAAAAGAAGCAGAACTGATGTTGGCCCAAGTGAAGTTCACGGCCAACTTCACGAATCGTTAACTTCTTTACGGTCCGTGGTTGAGCTCGTGAAAGTGGGGCAGAACTGGGCCTTGAGAAGATGAAGAGCAAGAATAACAAAGTGAAGATCACGGAGGGTTATACAGGCCGTTGTTCTTACTACAAACCGTGGTACCTACCGTGAAGCTGAACCAGTATAAAAGCAAGAAAGAGTTGAAAGAAGGTTGAAACTCAAGTGAAGACCACAAGTGACTTCACAGGCCGTGGTCCTCACTACGGACCGTGGTGTCTCTCGTGGTATATTTTCCAGTGACCAAGTTTTAAGACCCACTCTGGGGAAGCTCCAAGGCAAGACCACGGAGGGCTTCACGGTCCGTGAAGCCCTTGACGGGTCGTGGTAGTGGTCGTGACAAGGCCCGACAACTCAGTCCTAACTTGATTAGGACTCATTTTAAACATTTTATTTTGAATTACTTTAGGTCATTTTTGTGAATCATTATTGATTATCTGACGTTTTCACAACAAGGAACAGAGAAAAACTTGAGTTTTAGATTTTTGATTCAGATTATTGTTATCGATGGGACGTTGTTCATTTCGATCTTGAGATTATCAAGTGGTTGTGATTTACCGATTATTTTTGTAAGTAATTCTTAACATGTTTTCATTATCTATTATTAATTCTTTGCATAAGAATATGAATGGCTAAATGTCACGACTGGGTGTGTGGAATCTATGATGATATTCTAGTTGCGATTCTGTAAAATGAGTAAAAGGCAATCTTTGTTTACAACTTGTAGTTTACAGCTTTCATTTTCATTTCAGTCTATTGAGTGCACGCTTTAGACAGGTATGTATCTGGTGTTTGTTCGAGAGAAAAGCATTAGTTGGGAAAAAGCTAAGCTAAGTTTACGAATTGGAGTTAAAGTTGGATTTTAAGAGAAGGGATCTTTAACACCATATCAAATTAAGCGAAGTCCAATATCGATAACACTTTAAGTTAGAGAGAATTAGAGTGAATATTATCCAATTAGGCTGAGAAGCGTTAGATTTATTTAATTCGCAAAGAGTCTGTAAACATTGATTTACTTGACACTCAATTTACGGAAGAGCGTTATAATCGATGTCATGGTGAACACAAAACCTAGTTTCTTTAAATTAATTGAATCAACTTACAACGAGATCTTTTGTGAACCGTGTAACTAAGTTTTAACTGGAAGTACTTGCAGATAGAATACTTTTCAATTAAACCCAATTTTACTTTCCTTGTTAATTGTTTAGGAAATAGTAACGACAATTGAGTAAATGCGATAGTGAAACTTTATCTGTAAAGAAATTCTATGTGGGATCGACCTCAACTCTGGTTGAGTTCTGTAAATTGACAACGACCGTTTACACTCCTTATTTGGAATGTAAGTTTGGACGTATCAAAGAACTCGGAGAACAGCTTGTACGTGAGGAAGACGATGATCTTGCATAAATTGGCTTAAATATTGGACAGTGAAAGCCAAGTATGGTCGGGTATGGGTGAGATAATTTAGCTTGCCCAATAAATGTCGATAAAGCGTAGGATCAGGAATAAGATCCCCTGTTTTGGCAAAAAGTTCAGTGGAGGGATCAAGAGGGGATGACACAGGGGTAAGATGTGAGGAATGAAACTTCTCCAGTAAATCCAAGGTGAATTTTCGTTGGCTAAGAATGAGACCATGAGATTCGCGTAGGACCTCCATACCAATGAAGTAATGCAAGCTGTCCAGATCCTTAATCCTGAATTCATTGTGCAAGAAAGCCTTGAGATTATTGAGTTCATTCATATCATTGCCCGTCATCAAAATGTCATCGACAAAGATGGTGACAATAGAAACAGATGAGTCTGTCTTTTTGTAAAATAAAGAGTAGTCGTTGAGAGAGAGTGTATAGCCTTTGAAAGTGAGAGCAGTTGTCAGTTTAACATACCATTGTCGAGATGCTTGCCGAAGACCATAAATAGATTTCTTTAAGAGACAAACAAGATTTGAGGAGGGAGGAGTGACACCTGCTGGAAACTTCATGTAAATTTTCTCCTCTAAATCACCATGTAAAAAGGCATTGTCCACGTCCAATTGAAATAGACCCCATCATTTCTTAACTGCGATGGACAAACTACACCTTACTGTGGTCATCTTGACAATCGGTGAGAATGTTTCAGTAAATTCGATCCATTCTCATTGAATATCCCCTAGAATCACCAATCGTGCCTTCAATCTTTCCACACTGCCATTGTTGACACCAAATTTTAGTATGATATTTCTAAAGTTAATACTTGTTAAGTATTTTATTTTTTAAATAGTTCAAAATACTCCCTCCGTTCCATTTCATGTGAGGTAGTTTGACTCGGCACAGAGTTTAAGAAAGAAAAGAAGATTTTTAAAACTTGTGGTCCAAAATGAATGATAGAAATTTATGTGGCTGTAAATCATTTCATTAAGGGTAAAATAGATATTTTATAGTTAAATTGTTACTTAATATAGAAATGTGTCATTCATTTTTATATTTTGCACAGTCCCGAGAATCATTCTGATATGGATAATATTTCATACACATATATTTTATTAATCGGTGACCTTGACCCACGATTTTAAGATAGTGATACTGTACTATTGGTGATTTTTAATTCCCTATTTAAAGAATAACTTATTCATTAAGTTAAGCTATGGTAGATAAATTTTAGGAGTAATTTTCAGATTTTTTCAGTATTTAGAAATTTCTTGTAGTGTTCATAATTTTAAGATGACAAGCTCACCGGAGCTCCGCCGGAATCTGGCGAGTCCACCACCCATAACCCCTTTTCCTTTTTGTTTTTTTTCGGCAAAACCCAGCTTCCAACTCCACCTCTACAGCAGCAAACAACCAGAACCCCTTCCTTTTTTTCCGTTCTTCCAGCAACCAAACAGCCACCACAGATCTACCAGACCAAAACCCCCCATTTGTTTTCTCCTTCTTCCAGTAAAATAACCTCCAGACCAACCTGTTAAATTAGTTCTTAGGCCTAACTCACACCCCAAAAGCTAGCTCAAAGGGAGGAGGATTGTTCAAGCCTTATAAGGAGTCCATCCATCTCATTAACCACCGATGTGGAACTTTTGTCATTCTTTAACACCCCACCTCACGCCTAGTGCTTAGCATTTGGTGCGTGGGCAATTTTGATTTTGGGGGCCCCACATCGGGTGAGACGGACCCTGCTCTGATACCATGTTAAATTAGGTCTTAGGCCTAACTCACATCCCAAAAGTTAGCTCAAAGGGAGGAGGATTGTCCAAGCCTTATAAGGAGTCCACCCATCTCATTAACCACCGACGTGGGACTTTTGTCATTCTTTAACACAACCAAACCCCGACCAGAATCAACAACAACCCCAAATCCACCAGAAACGAGACCCTCTCCATCACCA